TGTTTGTCCAGCTCTACACCTTGTTATCTCAGATTCTCCAGCATCTGCAGTTCCTACTATCCCTGTACAGAGAGATGTTTGCGTTCATCTAATTCTAGTCACTTGTGCATCCTCAAATTTAATCAGTCCATCCTTAGTAGCCATGCCTGGGCCTTAACCTGCAGTTCAATTAATGCATTCGTTTATTATAATATTACGATGTTATGACATTGTGGTTCAATCAAACTGATTTGATAAATTGTAGTTCACAAGTTTGCAGTGGGGTATAACCAAGGGAAAAAGCATTCCATACTCTGACAAAAATGTGAAATGTTAATTGTCTTTTTATCAACAAAAAAGGTAGCAGTTTACTTCATGCATATTGTCCCTGCAGTGAATATTTGTTTCAGATTACCTGTGTGGAAAGGAAAGTTTGTACTGATGAGACTGAAATTTGCCATTTATTGCAATTAATGCTGTTTTACTTTGGAGCTCAATGTTCCACAAACAAAAATATATCCTGTTTTACTAGAGCGTGCGGGTTCTATTTTGCACAATACATTACTGAGGGGACGTTTTAATAGAAAATAAAGTTTCATATTTAGATAACCGTTGTAGCCAAGTTAGTTTGAAAATGCTGGAAACTCTCATCAGCTCAGGCAGAATCCGTGAAGAGAAAAACCAAGTAAATTTTTAAGGTGAATAGCCTTGTGCCAGAACTAATTTTTCTAGTTTTTTTTAATATTTCCAGTTTCTGGCATTTTTAGTTGTCTGTAAGTAAATGCCAAAGCCGGTTCTTAAACTACTTACTGGAATAGGTGGAACAAACAGGCATTGGAGCTGATGGAAGAATGCCCCACACTTTCATAAAATCTTCACTTAAGCTTCCTGCTGTGCTGGCAGTGACCTAAGGGGACGTATTGACTATTTTGAGATAGATCGGTTTTAAAAATAAAACCTGCTTAATGGGCAAGGCCCTACTTACTTTATTAGGCTGTAATTATTTTCCTTCCTCATTTTCAGTCATCTCCTTCCTTGTTCCCACAAAGTAAATATGACACACATTTTCCAAATGTCTTGATTTTCCACAGAGGTTTGTGGATATTTCTTGCATAATTCAGTAACTGGGATATTTAATTTCTCCTTTAACATTTTCCAAGTGACATTTTATTGATTACTTCTTTATTAGTTGTCAAGAGTCAAGTTCTCATGTTCATATTTGTGCTGTGTGTATCATGTTTCTCTTCCCCAGACTTTTATCTATGATTATTTCCTAAAGCCTAAGGTTGTATGTGACTTATTTTTTAAATTGCTAAATTTATGTAGAATCTACAGTAGAGAAACTGGCCATTTGATCCAACACAGAGGAAAGAGTAGGATCCTGCTTCTGTTTCTTCATGGTCACAATGAGGGCCATAGAATATAGCCCAAGAACTGCAGCAATCCAACAAGGCAGCCCCCCACTGCCTTGTCGAGAGCAGTTTGGGATGGGCAATAAATATTGACCTAGAGAGCAATATCCATGCGCCATGAGTGAATAATTTATATACTTTACAGTATGTCTAATTTTCTGTCTTGTTTTGTTTTTAATTTGACCTTGGGCTACAAGGTAGGGGTCGCAATGGGGAGGCAATGGCCCAGTGGTATTATCGCTGGACTATTAATCCAGAGACCCAGGTAACCTTCTGGGGATTCAGGTTTGAATCCCGCCACGGCATATGGTAGAATTTGAATTCAATAAATATCTGGAATTAAGAAGCTAATGATGATCATGAATCTGTTGCCGATTGTTGGAAAAACCCATCTAGTTCACTAATGCCCTTTAGGGAAGGAAACTGCCATCCTTACCTGGTCTGGCCTACATGTGACTCCAGACTCACAGCAATGTGGTTGACTGTGGGCAATTAAGGATGGGCAATAAATGCTACACAGTCAGTGACACCCTCATCCTGTGAACAAATAAAGGGAAAAAAATTGGTTTTCCTTCACACAAAACTGACTTTGGCTTCTTCAGTATTTTGCCACCTTCCCATCCCATTGCATTCGAAAGAGTTCAGTTTTCCTTGGCCCAAATACGATCTGGAGCTGGCTGTGTAGCTGTCAATCATCTACTATCACCCATTGCATTTAATAGATATCAATTCTCTCACCATTAAATGTAATACAGGGGCACCTCTGAATGCTTTTCAACCACTTGGATATTTCCCACTGTGTTCTATGAAATTTATAAATGGAATATGTTGCATGTGCAGTAGTGCTGGTGTTTTTTTTTTTATTTTTAATTTTTAAACAAGGTAATTAAATTCATGAGTTGGCTGTGTGAAGTAGAAGGAAAGAAAGTTTGGAGATTTAAGGGTGGGACTCATTAATTTTCTCACTGTTCTCTTCTAATATCTTCAAATATATAAGCGATAGGTATCTTAGAGGCGATGGCCCAGTGGTATCATCACTGGACTGTTAACCCAGAGACTCCAACAACATTCTGGGGACCCGGGTTCAAATCCTGCCACGGCAGATGGTGGAATTTGAATTCAATAAAAATATCTTGAATTAAGAATCTAATAATGAGCATGAATCCATTGCTGGAAAAACCCATCTGGTTTTGTGACTCCAGACCCCCAGTAATGTGGTTGACCCTGAACTGCCCTGTGAGCAATTAGGGATGGGAAATAAATGTTGCCTGGCCAGCAATGCCCTCATCCCATTAATAAATATAAAAAAGCAGAGTTTAATGATTTATTTTTGTTACTATTTAACAGTTGTTTTAACAGTGTAAAATTTTCCATCTCAGCCAAGCCATTCAAATTAAGTGCATATTGTGGGTGTTGAATGGAATTACTGCTGATGGAAACTATGTGCAGAACCAATGATAACACAGCTGCCAGGCAACATCAGCTGTTTTTTCCATCTTCCAGTGCAAAGCTAAGCTGATTACCATAGATATCTTGACTAAGTGCTGATGTCACTACTTTCCATTCGAAGTTCATTTTGTCCTAGTTGGAAGGTGCAGGTTTTGTTTAAGAATTTGCTGTCTCATACCGTAAAGCTCCTGAGGGCGAGCACTACATTCTGTATAAATTAGAGTAGGGCACAACTGCTTGTAATTCAAACAAGTGTCAGCAGTAGCTCAGCACTGTTTTCCTGGTTTGCAAATCAGACCTTTCTGTTAAGAAACCATGCATTTTCAAAACCTTAACTGCAACTTTATTCTAATTGCCTGCTTGGCTGATACTGAAGTCTTCACTGATGTTGATGTTCGGGTAAGGAGTTGGCTTAATACATTTTTTTTAAATACCAGTTTAGGAATGACTGTTTCAAGCTGTTGTTACAGTTTGTACTCCCTTGCTGTTACCATAATGTAGGACATATTTAACTGGCTTGGTATGTTTGTTAACAATGTTTGGCATTTTGATTTGGAGAGAATTGGTAATGCAGTTTAGTTCTTGCATGTGAAATTGTTATTGGGGCTATCTGATCTGGGGCTTCTAATGCTCCCAATAGCTGATATGAAATGAAGATCTAACAACATTTTGTAGTCCACTTCTTCGCAAAATTGTTCCTCTTCTTTTTTTATTCCTGTTCATTTAAATGTCCAGTAGGTTTTGGGAGAAAGAAAAATAAACTGTTTACAAATATAAAGAGGATTATCAGCCGAGGTTGTGGGAGTTAATGGAAAACTGGGTAACATCCATGTTTCTAACACGATGAGGAAGGATTTCAAGAGTAATACACTGATTGGTGACTGCATCGTCCCAGTATGTTATTTCAATATCAATATTTTGTATCAAAATGAGGGAAATTGACCAATGTATAAAACTTTGTGCAAAAAACTTTTTTATTTGTTCTCAAATATTTTGATAATGAAAAATATCCCAGAATTCTGAATAGCTGTGTTTTCCCAGGACAAGATTAGACCTTCTAAATGGCAAACCTCTTTGTTACATTCCATGCTTCTTTTTAAAAAAAATTACTCCAAATTAATGGAGGATTATCTGAAGGTATCTTTTCGTAGGAATTTATCGACGGAATGCATGATTTTTTCTAACATCTAATTATAGCTTAAGTAAAGGTACTAATTGTTCAATGCAATAAACTTAGTTTAAAATTTAAAATGGACATTTGTTAGCATGTTTAAAACCAATGACCCCACTTACAGATGCAGCAGCATTCTGTGAATAAAATGTGTATCAGGCATTGTTTGAAGTTCTTATGCTGCAAATGTGGCACATAATGTGGTCCCTCTTTATTGTTTTGCTGTTGTGAAAGGAATATTTTCCATTGCTAAATTGTGCAAAACATTTCAATGAAGTAAAACGGAGGAACATGCAGTTGGTGTAAGCACTAGCTGCCTCAAAAGCATGCTTTGTGGTTTTTCTCATGGTGCAGAGATTGGATATGTGATTTGAATTTCAGAAGTATGTTCAGGGCAGTCAGAAGATTTCTGGCAATTTTTTTATATTTTACAACAAATTGATGGTTTTTAACTGGAATTGTAGCTTTGAACAGCAGTAGTGCTTAATGAGTGCAGCTCGGCCGGATCCTTGAGAGAAATTTTGTGTTGTATAGCTGCTCGCGCTTTGTGTTTTATGCTTTAGTATTAGACAACGTTATGGAAAAAAAGATAGTGTTGTGTCATTCTTACGTGTGCAAATTTGCATTGAAAGTCTTCATATTCTCTAGTATTGACTAGATGTCTTCCTAGGTTTAAATTGAGTAACAGATGAGAGCACATGTAGTTGGGCCTGATGGTCATCTTGAGAACCACTGTGCAATGCCAGCAGCTTATTCAGATACGTACTCTGATTTAGTGCCACAACACACAAACGGCACTTTTGGCTTTGTTGTCTAATTCTATTGGACGTATTAAGACATGGAGAGACATTGCAGTATTAGTGTTACCTTCACTTGGGTGAAGTCTTCTCCTGGTTTCTTGGCAATATTAATCCTTCAATAAAAACCTAAATCGAGGTTATCACCTTACTATTGTGTTACTGTTGTGGGCCCTCCTTGTAAGCAAATTGTTTCCTACATTACAACACTTCAAAAGATATTTAATTAGCTATAAAGAACTTCAGGTTGACAAGCCCTCTGCCATTAAGGCCTGGTGACTTGCTGTGATAAAAGTGTTTGTGTATTTGCGAGTTGTTGTGAAAGGCGCTATATAAATGCAAGTCTCCTACTATTGAAACATACAGTGAGACGTCCAGTTATCAATGAGAATTTAATGTGAGTTCACTAGTGTTGATGTGGGTACCTATTGTTCAGGGAGTACTGTCTTGTAAGCCATTGCCGAGAAATTCCCAAACTGGCAGAATTGACAAGTGACTGTAGGCAGATTGAAAGGAATACCGGAGGACCTGCAGTAGTGACAGAATGAGAGTGGTTAGCTTAAGGAAGTGAAACAGCTTCTTAAAATTTGTTTTCCTTCCCTTTCTTTTGAATCTCTGACTGAAGCCAGGGGATAAAACAAGTCACATTGAGTCTCTACAGGTTTTTTTAAACAACAAAGGACTTGCTTTCATACAGCACCTCCATTAATGTATCAAAATGTCCTAAGGCACTTGAAGTATGTTGCTAATCAAATTTGGCTCTGAAACCACAAGAGGAGAAATAGAGACAGATAATCAAATACAAGACTTTCTCAGGAAGTGGGCGCTGCTGGTAAGGCCAGCATTTGTTTGCTGCCCTACCCCTGGGAGCAATTAAAAGGAAACTATACTGTTTGGTCAAAGTTTTAAGATGCAGGTGGGGCTTCATAATCTGCAACTTTATTATTGATTCCTGCCTTATTTCTGTTTGGGGTTAAGGAGTGTGAAATGCCCTTAACACCATCTGGCAAAATTCCTTTGACAGATTAGAGGGGGTGTAGTGGATGTGGATAAATCTTGGATGATCTGATATTCTGTCCCACACCAAACTTGCACTGACTTAACATGGGGCATCATGCATTCCTCCAAAGGTGCAGGATATCACCTAAATTTTATAAACTAGCACTAACAGGTTGGTAAAATTAATGATCAATGGCATTTTGATATTTGTGCCATTTTTGTCCTGCCTTCAGGCTTACTGAGCTCACATGGTTTGTGGTGGGCTAGGTATTAAGTCTGGGATTTCACATCAGTTTGTGCATGCTCAGTTTATGTGAGCAGAGGTACTGTTTTAGCCTCTGAATGCACTCTGCATTGTAAATGGGACAAATAGGGAACAAGGGCAATGTATGATATTGTGGAAGGTTCTATTGGAAGCTGTGTGCTTTGTAAATGAATTATACAGCCTTTGTGCAGACTATTACCAGAGCACCCTAAATGATTCAGGAAATGCAGGGTTTAATTTCACTAGTCTGATGTTTGTTCCTTTCAAAAGATCTTTTTAATTAACTACTGACTTGGACAAAGCATTTAAGGAAGTGTCTAAACTTAAACTCTGAGTCAGGATGGAAAATTCCAATCGCCAATTAGTCTGGGAGCGGATGTATGGTTTAATTACGTTTACAGTTGTACATTTCAGAAATTAAGTGGACTGAGAGTTAAATATTGATATAGACTATATGAATGTATTGTGAGAAGAGATTTGTGAGTTTCAGCCATATCATGTACTATACCGAGGAAAGCAACTGGCCAAAGGTATATTTACAATGTGCATGATTTTAGGATGTAACTTTTTTACCTTTTTTAGATTCAATTGGCTATTGGAACTGAGCAGAAGCTTCATTGCCCTTAGCTGTTCAGTTGATTAACATCCAATGTGGACAACACTAGCCATTGTCTGAAATGATTGGGCACAGTAGGTGAATTACTTTTTTTTAAATCATTCTAATACATTTCTGTTCCATTGCTGAAGTTTTTCACTAAGACAGAGACTTTCCATCTTTATTTTCAAGTGGACAAATCCAAGTCATAAATTCTAATCACATAAGGAGGAGGTTTCAATTGGATTAAGATCACTCCACTTACAGAGCAGTAAAATAATGAAATTTGACTTGGCAGCATGCAAAAGTAGTTTAGTATCTAAGCATTTTACTGCTCAGTGTGAACATAATGCGTCTCATGCAGGAAAATGATTTGGAATTAGAGATAAGACTGTGCCAGTAAAGACCTAATGTTTTGTAATTTGCCTATAATGTTTACTAAGAAATGTGTTTTGGGCATAAAGTGGATTTTTTTTTAAACTATTTGCTTGTGAGGTATGGCACCATTTCCTAATGGGCAATGTGACTGGGTGCAGAGCCTGTGATTCCGTCTCTCTCTGCAGAAAACATTAGAGACGGAACTAGACGGTGTCCCAGTTCTGAGGAAGCGTCACTCGCCCCAAAATGTTAACTCTGATATCTCTTGACAGGTGCTGCCAGAACTGCTTAGCTTTACCAGCAATTTCTGTTTTTGTTGTAGACTGTTGGCTCAGCTCAGTTTATTGATCTCCATTCCTGTCAAATACAAAGCCTGCCTGCTTCCACCTTTAAATAGTATTGCTCAGCTTGTCTTCTGCTGTAACTTGTACTTTGTAATCTTGAGGCCTGATTCTTCCAGTGTCCTCATACCTGGACTTCCATCCTCCATTAACTTGAACACATCCAAACCTCTGCTGATATTCTCACTTAAACCAAGTCCTGTTCACCCATCAGCTCTTTGGTTGCTGTTCGTGTTTATTCTTCGTTTTAGAATAAGTGTTTAAATTCCTTCGTAGTATGGTCTCACCCTGTCACTTCAATTCCTTTAACAGTCCCTAAACTCTGCACCTTCCAACTCTAACCTCTTGTGCATTCCCCACTTTGTTCACCATCCATTATTTGGCTTTTGTACCTTTTTAACCTTCGAGGCTCCAAGCTTGGGAGTCCCCTCCTTTAAATCTCTCTGTCTTTCATAGAATCATAGAATCTCTACAGTGTGGAAACAGGCCCTTCGGCCCAACAAGTCCACACCAATCCTCAGAGCATCCCCCAATCCCCATCTCCATCCCCATCCCCATCCCCATCCCCATCCCCGAACACTACGGGCAATTTAGCATGGCCAATCCACCTAGCCTGAACATCTTTGGACTGTGGGAGGAAACCAGAGCACCCGGAGGAAACCAATGCAGGCACGGGGAGAATGTGCATACTCAACACAGACAGTCGCCCGAGGGTGAAGTTGAACCTGGGTCCCTGGCGCTGAGAGGCTGCAGTGCTAACCACTGGGCCACCGTGCTGCCCCTTTCTAGATCTCTGTGAAATCCATCCCTGTGATATGAAGGGCTAGGGACTATGTCTAACTGCAGGGTGGGGGGCGGGGGCGTAGGTTGGTCAGTAAGTTGGATCCAGGAGGTAGGGGAAAGTGGAACATCTGCTTGAAGTTACAAAGCCTCCTGGGTTTTGGCCAGCACTAAGTCTCAAACGATGGAGCAATATGAGACTTGCAGCCTTGTTAAAATATTTAAATTGACAACCTGTGCCCTGGGAGTGGACCTTATTTCCAGTAAAACCTTTTAAAATGTGTGGGTTTGAGGTTGTTTGACATCATGGTTCAGGTTTTTTTAAACATTAACCTTCCGCTCAATCCAAAATCAGTTCCTGTTTTGGGATTAACATGGCCCCAGCTAAACAGGGATAGATAGAAAGGGAAAAATTAAAAATCCATAAGATGGAGAACATGCCTATGATCTGGACATTTTTTGGTTGGAGAATGAATTCGCATCTGCACCTAGGTATGCAGATCACCTCATCTTCCGTGTTTAACAGAGGTTCTTGTCTCATCATAATAAACACTAGCTGCTCATTCTGCAGTGCCAGCACATAGTACCCTACAGAACAGAGGAGCTGTGGCTTAGACTTGGAGATGCTGGAACTAAATTAACCTGAGGATACAACAAATTATCTCAGACTGTCCAGTTATTCAAAGGAACACAGACCAATTGAATGGGCAGGCAGGTGTAAACTGCAAATTCACGTGAAGGTGTGTGAGTTTCATTATTTCTGATGGATAAAGCAGGGAATTCAAGATGTACTCAATGAAAGAAGTTGAAAGTCATTGGTGAACAGTAAAATCTAAGAATTGAATTAACCTTCCTTAAAAATAGATGAAGCTATAAAAAAGAACTATTTTCATGGATTACTATTGAGTTGTACTGGTTTCGGTTCACTGGCTGCATTTTTCCTTTGATGTCCTTTCCTCAAACACACTGGGGCATATAAAATGGCAAAAAATAGCCATTGCCCTTGCATGGAACCATGAACTACTTAAAGGAAGTGCGACAGAACGATTGTTTATTGAAGTGACCCAGGACAAATTGCCATTGGAAGATGGAAGCAAATGATCGGGAGCAAACATGCTTCTCTTGCATTGCCCTGATGACAGTGAGCTTGCCAATTGCTGGTCTTGCACAGCTGGCTGTAAAAGATAAAGTCACTGTGGTCAGTCAGAGAAATACAACACAAACAGATCCTTTGGTCCAACTTGTCCGTGCCAACCAGGTATCCTAAATAAATCTAGTCCCATTTTCCAGCATTTGGCCCATATCCCCCTAATTCACATACCCAACCACAGGCCTTTTTAAATGTTGTAATTCCTACCAGGCCATTGGACTGCTCTATCATTAGAGAGAGATGACAGGTAGTGGTTTAACCTTAGGCTTGCTATGGCTCGGGGAGGTTGAGAAAGTGAGACCTGCATGGAAACATTAGCAGTGCAGGAATTGAACCCACACTGTTGGTGTACTCTGCAACTAGCCATCCATCCAACTGAGCTAACCAACCCCCCCAAGTGGCTAAAGGCTGGATGTAAACCTGCTGGCCTGACGGACGTGTCCATTCCTGAAGACTGGACTGTACGTTTTACAGCCAGGTATGCAAAACCGAGATAGAGGAAATGGAACTTGGCAGTGCTATTGTGATTGGTGTGCTTGCCATTAATGAAGCGTTATCCTTTCAGCAATCAATATCAGTATGCATTGGAAACAAATCATACTCCTTTCGATATATGCGAAGATCGTGCAATTAAATGTTGCATGCTATTTTATTTCAAGGCAGATATGTGTTTTTATTTGTAAAATGAAATGTAGCTTTTATTTTCAAATGTAAAAGATCAGTCACTAAGTGTTATCTTGCACAAAATATTAAGTGTGTCAAAATGTATTTGGCCCTTTTTTGCATTGTTTACAGATTTTAAAAAAGTGATTGTTCAGATAACTCAAGATGCCGCTGACAGAAGGCAACTCTTTGTGAGCTCTCTACAGCAGATCCTATTCTCATATTTCTTACAATCATTCTGCACTTCGATACCTCTTAATTCTACATCTGTTATTCACCCTATGATCTTTGTATGTTCTGATCTGCCTGTACTGCACGAAAAACAAAATGTTTCACTGTACTTAGGTACATTTGACAATAATAAAAAAAAGTCTTCATTGGAAAGATAAATCATTTGAAAAACAGCTGAATTGGTGGGCATGAGGGCTATTGTAGTGCAATGGTAGTGACTCTACCTCTGAACCAGGGGATTCAGGTTCAAAACCACATACTGCAGAAGTGTGACATAACAATGTTACCAACTCTTGCCTGCCAGTTAATTAGCTTAGTATCTATCCCCTGTAATCTTGCATTGTAGCTAGTGGCAATGCAGAGGCATGCGTCTGTTTATTTCTCATGGTGAATTGATCAGAATACAGCTGCCTATTTGCCATCATTCAGCAACCATAGATTCCAAGAGATCTGATGATGTTCCCCTTTGAACTCAGAAAATTGATGAGAAAATCAGAAAATTTGAGGAACTCACTAGAGAATTCGTTGCATAAAGGAATTTCCTTCTCTTCCTTGCCTTTGCTTTCAGATTTTTGATGATAGTAAATTGACAGAGCACTGTGAGTCAGATGTAATGTTGAAAACTATTAAACCTATTCTGCAACTAATTGCTTGGAATTTAACCACTGGTTAACTTTCTTGACAGGATGACTTTGAGACACTATTCAGAGCCTATGACAAGAATGTGACCTTCCAGTTTTTTAAGAGCTTCAGGCGTGTACGGATCAACTTCAGCAATCCCATTGCAGCAACTGAGGCCAGAATTCAACTTCATGAAACTGAGTTTAATGGGAAGAAAATGAAACTGTACTTTGCACAGGTATTCATTTTGACTTCTGTAATTTTAAAGCAAGGTCCTCTTTTTTTAATAAATCTATTTGCTTAAAATATATTGAAGTCATTACAGATTGGTTTTTGTTCTTCCATGAGACCTTGTCCTAAATTAAGTAAAGCTGAAAAATATGTATTTAAGTACAATATGTTCATTGTCATTGCATATAATGATAGATTGGTGCCTGAGAGTGGGGCTGTTGCACAGTGGCATTCTGAGGTTGGGTAAGTTTGTATTCCGACTAGCGGGAGCTACAGGAGTCTTAAATGTGAGAACTTTTGAGTTTCTAGTCCCAGTGAAATTCTGTCCAGAATGGCTAGAAATGAACTCAGTGGCATGAGATGTGTTAATTGTGTACAATTCTCTGTAGCCAACTTATTAGTGGCATTGTTTGTGGCTCCATGTGTATCTATGGCCTTGTGAAAGCTACCAATCCATTAGGATTGGGCTGATGCAAAAATAGTGACAAAAAGTGAAATTGAAAGAAATTAAAATGCTTAAAGGAGAAATGGCAGCAAAATGGGCAAAACTGTTGAACGTGAGGAAAGGCTAATAAGGCATCAAGGAAAGGATGGAGTAAGTGATATCACTAGTCTAATAATTCAGACTGGGTATGTGTATTTGAATCTCACTATGTCAGATGGTGAAATCAGGATTCAGTGAAAAATCTGGATTTTAAAAAAGTTTTGTCTGATAACCATGCAACTGTTGTGGATTGGAGACATCAAGAACTGCAGATGCTGGAGTCAGAGATCACCGTGTGGCACTGGAGGAACACAGCAGGCCAGGCAGCATCAGAGGAGCAGGAAAGTTGATGTTTTGGGTCACGACCCTTCTTCAGAAAATCCCCAACTGCTGTTGGTTGTTGTGGAAACGCACCTGGTTCCCTAATGCCATCCCTGCCTGGTTGGCCTCAGTGTGACTCCAGATGCATAGCAATGTGGTCGACTCTTAACTGCCCTTAGGAAATTAGGAATGGGCAATGAGTGTTGGCCTAGCTAGTGACGTCCATATCCCAGGAACAAATTCTAAAAGTAGAACCATGGAAGTTGAAGTGAAATTGGGAAAGAAGGTACAGCTGTAAGTGAGGTGAAAGGAAAACAAATGACATGGAGCCTGCAGGTGAATGACCGAGTAAACCAGTTGTTGACACTTGTGTGTCTGAACTGCTTGTGTTGTATGAAGTGGTTGTGAGTGGGTAGTGGCAGGCTAGAGGTTGCAACTGACCATTTCATAAGACTGGAAGGACCATTCTGGTAGCTATATGTGTTGTGACAGGAATAGCACAGATTTCACACATATTTCTTCTTCCTTGGATCTGACCTGGAATCTGTAGATTCCCATTTATACTAGGTAGGTTGTGCCAGGAGCCACCAGATCTTGTTGCCACCATAATGGCAAATCAGGCCCAATAACTGTTGATTTACCTTCATATTCAGCACCAGTCAAAAACATAAAACACTGTGAATAGAGTGCGTCTTGCAGGTATCCAGCATTGTAGTTAATCAGGTCTTTCACGTATCATGTTCTTGTCATAAAGCTGAGATCACTGCCAACTACAACAATCTTCTTGTGAGTGGTTAAACTGATCAGGAGTGGTAACATATAAACATAAAACAAGTAAAGATCCCACATAAAGACAATGCAGGAGAAACTCAGCAGGTCCACTGCATCAGGAGAGAGAGAAAAAGTTGTTTCTTGTCTGTTATGACTCCTCTTCAGAATTACTTCTTTGGTGTTCCTAACTAGGGTCCTGGACTCAAAGCATCAGCTCTGTTTTTCTTTCTCCACGGATGCTGCCAGACCTGCTGAGTACCTCCAGCACTTTGTCTTTATTTCAGATTTCCAGCAGCTGCAGTATTGTCCTTTTTAATTAAAAATCCTAAACGATGCATCCTGCACCCATTACCCAGTCAATAATAGCCACTTCATGTCTGAAACTTAGATACTGCTGTTCGGAAAATATACTGTTGGATGTCTGAAATAGAAAACTGTTCTGTTCTTAACGTCTATTTAACTTTGTGCACGAAGATTCACATGACAATTTTCAATCTAAACATAATTACAGAACTTTTTAAAATGAGTAATGTGATTTTTCTTCTAGATCCAGAACAAATCCTTCAGTAAAGGTAGCCCACACCTGGCTCCACCGCATCCAGAAAAGCAGTTCCTTATCTCTCCACCGGCATCTCCTCCGGTTGGCTGGAAGCAAGCAGAAGATGCCACTCCAGTTATAAACTATGACCTGCTATATGCAATATCTAAGCTGGGCCCAGGTAATAATGCATGTTTGCTCGGAGCTTGCTAGCACTTAATTCTCCCTTCCTCTTTCTCCCACTTTGCATTTTCCTTTTGCACAATTGAAACGTAGCTGCATATTTTCTGAAAGCACATCAACACTCCCTAAATATTGGGCATTTTGTGGTAAGCCAGTGGTTTTATTAAATGTGCCCATTTATAATTTCCATTCTGTTGAGTGTGTTTCTATTTCGCTGCGAGAAATTCTGATGTATAGCACCAGTTTCCTTTATTTTATGCATTGTAGAGGGAAGATATCTTTCATCTGTCCCAGTGTAAGCGATGCATTGAAATATACTTCTGCTGTGAGGGATATTTAAAGTTTTAGCCCAGACTACTACAGTGGCATTCAGAGTCTGGTTACAGAATGGTGTTGGGCCAGAAGTGGATCAGTTGCCAAAGAGTGTGGGTTGATGACCTTTTCTTTGGAAAAGCAAACTAAAAGGGGGAAGAAATATATTGAGAGGGTGTGATGACTGTTAAACTATGAGGAATATTATTTTGAAACTACTGAAAGGAGATGAAGGGATTAAGTCCCATAGTGCAGGCACACCAAGATTGTAAGAGGTAAAATGAATGATCAGTTGAATCGAGAAATTAATATTTACTGTCAAATTTGGGATTTGAAAGCTTGTAGATTATAAGAGGGAAGAAGGGCTAAGGATAGTTTAGTCTCTTATTTTCAGGGGAAAAAGTAACTTGTTATAAGAGGTGATAGTGAGTCCCAGTCCACACACTGATATGAGGATTGAATAATGTGTTGAATCTTGTGACAAACGTAAAGGGATTTTTTTAATATGCCTATTATCCATGGTTTTTCATATTCTGTACAGGAGAGAAATACGAATTGCATGCAGGTACTGAAACCACTCCCAGTGTTGTTGTTCACGTCTGTGAAAGTGACCCAGAACTGGAGCAGGAACAAGAGGAGGAAGAAGGCAGAAATCGACCTAAACCAAAAATCATTCAGACAAGAAGGCCAGACTACGCTGCCAGCCATTCTAAACAAAAGTGAACTTGACCACTTACTTTTTATTCACTTGGACTCCTCATGCAGAGAGCAATCACACTACTGAGTTATAATGGGGATACTGGACAGAAAGCAGTGTAACAGTGAGAATGATTGATTGAGTTCCCAAACACACAACTGTATGTGTACTGAGGCAGAAATAATGTGGGAAATTTGTACTATGTAAGTTCTGTTATGTTTTCTGCTACAAGCCTGCATATAATTTGCAAAGGCATTAAATAAGGACAGCCGGAGAGAGCAGCAGAATGGTTATAGTCCACGTGAAAACGTTGTGACTGTGGTTGGCGCTGAACAATTTTTGTTAGTTGTCTGTTCTATCATTTTGATGTCTTTGAATGTTTGGAATGACTTGTTCCCCCAAGGTTTTACTTTATTTGCATATTGTTGCAAAATTGCAGTTAATCATGTGGTGTTAGAGTGGCCTGCTAGATATTTGCAGTAGTGCTTTCCAGCAGAGCCAGCATGTTTCGAATTTTGGCATATTCAATACTTAAGCAGGGAAAGTGAACTTAATTGCAAACAGTAGCTCTTGCACATATTAATTCAACCACTTATCAGGATCATTTTAAATATCTCTGATTTAGAGCATTATCTAATATCAAAGTGCATCACAAAGGGTGAGTTGATGATTGACACACAAACCCTCTTGTGCTTTATCTTTGTGTATCTTCTGCAACATAGCTACCTATCTCCCTTGTGCTAAAACTAACCATATATCCTGAGGCACAGGCTATTGTGTGGAAACATTAAAGATTCATTATCCTAGTGGATTTTTTTAGTTTACTGGCACAAGTCACGTGAGCTGTATTACGATTCCTTCACAGTGTATCATGCATGACCAATTCCACTTTAGTTTGTTCTCTTTTTATCTTTTAATGTTAGTGTTGAACATAGATACTAAAGCCCATTGCATTTATGTTTCTTCTGACTGGTTTACTTGCACAGTGCTGTGTGCTTTCAGAATGATTAATGTTACTAATTATTGTAATGGCTTTTGCACTTCATAATCCAGAATGAAGGCCAAATACTGAGGATAGATACTGTATGGAATGGATTGAATTGCAAACCAAAAAAGTTTTCGGAATGTGGTCATAATTTCTTCCCAAGCCACCTACCAATTATAGTTTTGAACTAGACAGCGGGTTGGGAATAAAAGGGGACTAAATCACCTGACTTTATGTAGAAGGTTAGAAAAGGAAACACTTTGTTTTTAAAAGTACAAGACCTGTTATTTGTGAGGAAAAAGCAGCAGAAATAAGACTCATTAATGGCAATTTGTTGTAACCACAATCCTGTTTCCAATTCCATACGTACCACTACATTCTACAATGTTATCAAAGCCTGAAATATTGGTTACTTGAGCTACCCATTGATTACTTGTTAATGTGACTACCTTGAGTAAATGTGGAAAGTACAAATTTACTAATTTGTGATGTCTCGTCACAGTATACTCATCCTGTGTAAAATATTCAGACCTTTCAAGCTGTATCTCTAGAAGTGTAATATCAGTAAACTATTAAATTATTGGATTGTGCTGTACATATTGTTCATATTTGTACAGATTGGAATAATTGGGCAAATGTGGAATGTTTACAAATAAATACATTTGCTTTAAAGATCTTGTTAGCTTTTTATTTAGACGCAACACTTCTTCCTTCAAAATGAAAGTATTCAATCTGTGGTTGGTCCTCATCAAGATGGTTATTAAAAATGTTCTAGCTATATGATTTTGCTTCTGTTTGTGAACAAGTGAATAACATTAGTTGATGTTTCCTTTGTAGTATATTTTCACTTAGTTGTTATTTGCCATATTTTAAAAAGTGGCTTTTTATGATTTACTGATTTTGATCTTCTTTTACCTCCTTGAAGCTCCATAAGACAGTATTTTTCAACACAATATTGTGTAAGAATATTGCAAAAAACAGAAAACATTATCTTACTACCCACTATTGTTCCTTCTGAAGCCACCAGTGGGCAAATGGTTTTTATTTGCTCTCAGGATGAGGGCATCACTAGCCAGATCAGCACTTATAGCCTATCCTTAACTATCTTGGAGAAGATGATGGTCAGTTATCATCCTGCTCTATATTTTACTCCTCAATGTCTGTTCACTTTTCAACAAGGGACTTGTTATTTATAACCTACTTGTAAATTCTTGTGATTGAAAGTTAATGGGTGAGGCCCCATTCCTTACTGAAGCACACTTCTTGGTCATTTTTATTATCACCTGCCTTGCTGAAAGCACTGTTCCGCAGTGCTTGCCCTAAACATCAAATTACACTTTGCATTCCCCGTCTATTTCTGATATCTTTAGAACTTCTCCTTTCTCACTCTCCTATAAAATCCTAACTCTCCACTGCGCTGCCTTCTTACTGCCTCCTCTGCACAAAGAGACTCTTTATTCATAGTGGTTTGAATTCCTATCTCAACCTGTCATGTCTCTTCTGATTTCACTGTCTGCTTTTACTCATAATCTATTTCATGATTCCTCCCATATGTGCTCGCCTGTCATTTTCACAGTCACACACTTTAACCTTGTCATCTCAAAGTGCCTCTCAAGTGCCATGATCTTGACTACAGATAAGGCTGTCTGTAAATTATCGTTTTGAATCCTCACCATTTTTTTTCTTCTGCATTTGCCTCTGGAATAAATTCTCCCACTAGTTGCAGTTTGCAAGTGCAATTTTAACCAACTCCCTGGCCAGTGTTTGCTGATCATTTCACCTTCCAATCTTCTCTTCTAAGTAAATCCATTATTCCTCCTACAATAGGAGTAAGTTACTGCAGATGCTGGAATCTGTATTGGAAACAAAAAAAAAGCAGGAGATCACAGCGGGTCAGGCAGCATCCATGGAGAGACAGCAAGTTAAATGTTTCGAGTCTGCATGACACTTCATCAGAGCTGAAGTGAAGTGTGAAGGGGAGGTGGGCGTGGGGGTAGTGTGTGTAGAGTACTGGTGGAGAAAGGATGTTGATAGTGCAGATTAATTGATCGGAATGTGAGAATGGCAGAACAATGGTGTGTCTCCTGTCAGACTGGGAAGAACAGACAGTCCCCTTTGGAGAGGCGGGAAGAGGACATGATAACAGAGAATATAACAAATAAAGCTAAAAGAAAGGGTCAGAAATGGGAATTGGTTCACAAGGGTGTTGAACTCAATATTAAGTCCAGAAGGCTGTAAAGTGCCTAGTCTAAAAATGAGATGTTGTTCCTCCAGTTTGCGCTGTAACGTACTGGAGCATTGTACCATGCCGAGGACAGGCAAATGGGCATGCGAGCGGTACGCTGTGTTAAAATGATCGGCTTTGGGAAGGTTGGGATCATGCTTGCGCACAGACCGGAGGTGTACTGTAAATCGGTCACCCAGTCTGCGTTTGATTTCAGACCCTCACCTTCCCATAGCCGGTCATTTTAATGCAGCATCCTGCTTGGATAATTATGGTTTCATCCCTCCCATCAACCAACCAGGTCGTACCTACTACCAGTGGCCACCTATCACCACCATTCTGCTACCTCCCCCCTCCCTCTCTCTTTATCTGCAGCTCCCCCTACCCCCACATCCTGTCCTGAAGAAGGGTAATACCCGAAACATTAACTGCTCCTTTCCTCCAGATACTGCCTGACCTGCTGCGTTCTTCCAGCCTCCTGTTTGTCTACTGTCTAAATTGTGAATCATTTTTTCCCCTTCTTTTAGCTTTACTTGTTACATTCTCTGTCACCATGTCCTCTCTCCCCTCCACTCAACCCCAGTGGGACTGTCTGTTCTTTCCAGTCTGGCAGGTAGGCACATCATTATTGTGCCATTCTCGCATTCCGATCACTTAATCTGAACTATCAGCATCTTTTCTCCACCAGCAACCATCATCCCCACTCGCCCTTCCCCACCCCGCAACTACAGCATAAATGCTACACCCTCCACTCTTCACTTCAGCTCTGATGAAGAGTCATCTAGACTCAATGTTATCTTGCGCTCTCTCTCTCTCTCTCCCTCTCTCTGTGGATGCTGTCTGACCCTCTGTGATCTCCAGCATTTGTTGTTTTCATTTCTCCTACTATGGTGCTTGTCTGTCCTAGAATAATGCCATCTTCAGGTTTTTAAGTCCAGAAAGGACAGACTTAAGCATATCTGGATCAAAGTGGACTTCCTGTTTGTACAAATTGAATCCAACTTTTTCAGTTTCCTGTGCCTTGGCCATGAAGCCTCCTGAGGAATAGAAACCCAATGGGTTTACAGAATGTGTGGGTGAAACTGTTGATATACATCCGGGTTTGTTATCCACCCTGCACTAGTCACAATACTGACAAGATCAGGGTTTTCTATTATGTTCAACCTGATGAAATCTACACAGAGACGAGGAGAATGGGGAGTGTTAGCAAATGCTCCTCTCCACCTATCTTCTCCTTCATCCAGCTTCTATCCACCTCCCCCTATCTCCCTATTTATTTCAGAATCCCTTTCCCCTCCCCCATTTCTGAAGAAGGGTCTAGACCCAAAACATCAGCTTTCCTGCTCCTCTGATGCTGCTTTGCCTGCTGTATTCATCCAGCTCTACATCTTGTTATCCTTTGCATCATTTATTTGTTTTTTGCACATTATTAATTCACAGGACATGGATGTTATTGGGCAAGGCAGCATTTATTTCCTTAGCTACCCTGGAGGTGTTGGTGATCAGATGCATTCTTGAACCAGTACATTCCTGAGGGTGTAGGAACATTACAGTCCTGTCAAGAGTCCACATGTTCTAGGATTTAGACCCAGCAAGAGTGAAGCAGTGGCAATATTGTTCCAAGGCAGGATGGTGTGTGACTTGGAAGGGCCAACACAGATGATGACATTCCCATGTATCTGCTGCTCCTGTCCTTTTAGTTAGGTAGAAATCACAGGTTTGGAAGCTTCTGTCAAAGAAGACTTGCTGACTTACTGCAATGCACTTTATTGCTGGTGTACACTTGCAGCAGTTGTGAATATTGAAAGTAGTGGATAGGGTATTGATCAAGTGGGCTGCTTTGTAATGGATGGTGTTGAACTTCTTGAGCATTGTTTGAAATGCACTCATTAGGCAAGTGGAGAGCATTCCATCGCATTCCTGTCTTGTGCTATGTAGACAGTGACCAGGCTTTGGGAAATCAAAAGATTTATTACTTAGCACTGTCTTTACAGCTTCTGGCTTGCTCTTTGTATTTATATGGGCAGCCCAGTTCAGTTTCTGGATAATGGTAACCCCAAGGATATAAACAATAAGGAATTAACAATGGTAATATTAATTGTCAGGGGGAGGTAATTAGGTTATTTTGTTGGAGCTGGTCATTGCCTGGTACTAGTGGCATGAATGTTACTTGCCACTTATTCAATCTAAGCCTGAATGTTGATTTGGACTTGCTACATATGGATATTGACTGTTTCAGTATCTGACGGGTTGTGAATGATGAAAAACAAACATCCCTACTTCTGAACATGTTATGCTAGATGAAAGGTCATGAGAGAAGCAGCTGAAGATGGTTAGTCAGGGACATTAGCCTGAAAAACTCATGCAGTGATGTCTGAGGGCTAAGATGATTTTGCTTCAACGGGCACAACCATATTCATTTGTCTGGGATCTCTCTAATCAGCAGAGAGTTTTCGCTGAATTCCAATTGTTTTCAGCTTTGTTAGGGCTACTTGATGCCATACTCAATCAAATACTGGCTTGACGTCAAAGGTGGTCTCTCTGACCTCCTCTTTGGAGCTCAACTTGGTACAACTTTGAACAACTTTGAACCAAGAATGTTAGATGTCAGGAGCTGAGGGACACAACTGGCACAACCCAAAATGAGCATCAGTGAGCAGGTTATTGCTGACTATGCGCTACTTGATAGCATTGTCAATGACCCTTTCCATCCCTTTGCTGACTATCGAGAGTAGACTGATGGATCGGTAATTGGCTTTACAGGGAAGGGGATGTCTGAGGTTTTTTTTCAAAGAACTAGGTCAATACTTGATAGATTTTTTTTTAAAAAGTAGGTATGTGGGGAAATAAGTGTTTTCAGTCAGAGTATGTAGTTTCTATTATAGCTCTTTGAATATGGTCATGCAGAACTGGAGATGTCACATTAACGTCCTGAAAGGGCACCCATCTGGTTTGTTAATATCCTTTAGGGAATGAAATCTGTCATCCTTACTTAGTCTGGCCTACGTGTGACTCCAAACCTACAGCAATGTGGTTGACCCTTGACTGCCCTCTGGTCAATTAGGGATGGGCAATAAATGCTGACCTAGTCAGTGACACCATCATCTTGTGAATATTTTTTTAAAAATGCCAAATAGTATCCAATTTTTCCGTCTCAATGGTGAAAACCTGGAAATAGTTGTGATCACTTCTTACAATTATGGTAAACACGGGCTATCAAATTTTAACATTTTATTTATGAAACGTCAACTGTATTGAAATTAGACCAAGATTATTTTAATAGAAGTACAAATACTGACCTAAAATGACTGCTGTGATCACCTCAGCACAGTGAGGCAAATGCAGGAGTTTGACAAGGATTAAATGGAACTCTCCACTGAAATTACCATTAGTCCAGAATACAATTTCACTTTCTTTTGCTCAAACGAACTGTTGGAGATGGAGTTTA